CCTATATCCCGAAAATGAAAGTTATATATGCCAACAATAAGTTGCTAGAGCACTTTAAAGGCTCAAAATTGACCCCAAAATAAGGCAATGTTTACCGTTGTTTTTACGACAGAAACCGAATTGGTTATTTACAAAAATGAATCTGTCGACAGGTTTGGAATCTTATCTTTGAAACGCCACACTTTTCTTTGAAATCGCTGTATTAGTTTTCGTGCAATAAGCGTTTTTGTGAAGCTCTAAAAATTACAACTACAACATTTGAACATAGCCCCCATACCTTAAGGTAAGACGTATTCTACGTCAAAAAACCTTTCTCTATATTTTATGGGATGTTGCTTTGACCAGGGCTTGAACCCAGGTGCTGATGTATGAAAGCACGCACTGCTTACCACTACACCACAGCGGCCGACAACAACAATAACAATATAATATATTTTATTTCGACTATGAATATGCTCCAATGTATGTATCCGGACGATCTCACAGTAAATCTGACTAACAGACTAAGGGCGAATATTCACAAGAAATGAGAGTGTCATCTCTCTTTTGAGTATTTCTGCACAGAAGCCAATGAGAAAGCAAGCATTTTTGGTAGAAAAGAAAACTCCATAAGACTAAAGATAAGCTTAATGTTAAGCTTAAAACAAATTTTCGCAATAAGAAGCCAACTAGAAATGAATCGAGGTAGGTTTCACTTTAGGAGTGTTTTTTTTTTTTGTTTTTAAGGAGCATTTTTAGATACATATATTTTAAGATTTTGTTTTGTTTCTTTTTTATTTGTGTTCTTTTTTGTTTCTGCTTTCTTACTTGTTGTTCTAACATTTGTAGATCCTCGTATTTGTTGCTGATGTTTACAATCTGTTGTTAATCGGTCAATTTGTAACTAAATAATAATATTTATGCACGACTTATGCATTGGAAATGTAAATTTGACAACGAAAACAATTTTCAATTTAGCTTGATGCAATCGTTTTTATGGCACACTCAACCTAAAGATGAACATTCAATTAATGCATAGTTCATTTCTGGGAATTATAGCTTTCACCGACTTGCATTAAATAGGCAAATAAAAGCCAACACCATTCTTTAGTTTTGATAGATTGCATGGGGTAAAGCCAAGCGCCTTGATTGACGGTTGACAAAGTAACCGTCAATCAAATAGAGCAAGTGCAGGAAAACAAAATTTATTGAATAAATCAAGACAAATGACTGAAGTGATGGTCAATATTGGAAATATTCAAAACAAATATTTTTTATTTACTTACATTTAGCAGTTGAAAGCTAAATTTTGCAACATTGTGCGACTCCATGCACGTATGTACTACTAAGTGGCTATAAATAAAATTTTCGAGTTAAAATTAAACTGAGTCGAGATTTATTGTTATATTTAGCTAAGCAAACTAGTGAAATATATATGTGCGTTTAAAAATAGCTGTGCAAATTATGGCATGGAGACTAGAGAAAATGTAAGATTATATTTTTAGCAACATTTCAGTTTCGAAATTTTGCGATGTCGCCAAGCGTCGTGCGCTCAATGAAGTTGCTAATTTGATACAAAAAAAATCAAAAGCAAACTAAAAAAAATTTACCATACGGTTTTAAATTTTATGATTTTATTGCTATGCGAATAATGTGAGATAACGAATTGCCCATATGCACTTAATGGACACCTAAGCCACTGTAATTAGCATTCGCTGCTGGGGTCTCACAGCTGTATTGATAAGAAAATCGTTTATGACAATTCAAAAAAAAAAAGGAAGGGGCCATAAACGAATTTATAATGAAATTTTTGTTGTTTTAGTTAAATGCGCTCAAATCGATAATGCAAATTCATATGTGTATATATAATAAAACCAGCTAAATTGTTTTCAATTTAAGCAATGGAGTCTTTTGTTCGACGTGTTGCGATGGCCTTTTAACGAATAATAAAGCAATTAGGATGACATTTTGTTTGAATAGGTAAATTTGCTAGTATTTTGCTTTTCGAATTCAGAAGACTCAATCACCGTTTTGCATTGAAAATAGTTAGCACTTTCAATAGCTAATAGTTAGCATCTTCAGTATACTTACATACGTATTTACCTTAATTGTGTACTGCAGAATGTAAATAAAATGGACAAATATGTTTACTAAAGCTGTACATTATTATTGGTTCGCTATTTATTTAAACATTTCCCACTTAATATATTAACAATCCTTATTATGCGCATGTGCAAGTTTAGTCAACAGGAATTGTGAATCCAGCAAGAAGCAAACCAGAAAATATACATATATATAAAAGAAATAAATTTGCTTAACTTGCTGACATATTTACGATCCCTTAATCGTTGTTTTTTACATGATACATAATTTAAAGATTTATTGTTCTGTTTTAAGATAAGATGCAACAACCAGAAATAAGTTTGAAACCTATATAAATGTAAATTTTAAATTTGTGTAAATTTATGATTGTTCCAAAATTTCGTTTAATAAAAAAGTGTTAAAAGAAGGGGCTAGGCAATATGGATTCTTGATTCAAGTTCAGGGCTTAGGAACGCGGTTTGATGCTTTGTTACAGAATAAATCTGAGAGCCAAACTCAGCAAGCTCTGTTATTAAGGACTGTCCTTAAAGTTATACACGGTACGTCTGGATAAGATTTAACCCAAAAGTTTTTGCTCACCCAATTTTAATTGAAATATTGAATGAAAGGACCCAAAAGCAAACTCTGAGACTAGCTAATTTCAAAACTATTCTACACTAAACATTTTGGATATAAAATCTATGTCCATTAGTTTTGGAATTAACGAAAACCCTCTGATTTTGATAAATTCTTACAAAACTCCTCCCAAATAAGTGTATCAAGTATCTTTTTGCTTCTTGTATACCAGAAGTAAGGGCAATAAGAGCTTCAAAAATTAGACAAAGAAACATGAAAGAAGAGATCGACCTACGCTTAAAGGAGCCTACGAGCAAGTAAACTAGGCTAAGATTTGTAAACTTACTGTTCGGCTAATGGCCTTATTCATTAAAAACAAAGTAGGTTTAAAAAGCTTAATAAATTGACGTTTTTAATACATTTCTCATCAAGGCGAATTTATATAAGGTGGTGTTGTTTAATCAGCTGTGTGTAGTGTTTGATTGTCAAAATTTTATATTTTGCTAGTGAGTGAGTGACAACGTGAGAGTGTTTGCATTTTCTGTCGCCCTTTTTCATTCGGAGAAGAATAGCTGAAATTTGACAATCACCAGCTAAAAGCAAAAACAAAATACAGGTAATTGTTGTATTTGTTGAATCGATACCACCTTATATGAATTCGCCTTGTTTCTCATTTTATAAACCTTTTTTAAGGCTACTTTATATTTTTATAAATAAGGCTATTAAGGTGTTTTTTTTTTTGAAAATTTGTTTTAAGGGCAGAGACATTTTAATACCTACTTGTGAAAACGGAAGTGTTTAAACAAAATTTGTTTTTAAAGTACGAATAAATTCTAAAAGTTACTTAAGAAAACGGCGCTAATAAGCTTCGCGAAATCTATTTAAATGAAACATGATTTTTTTTATTTGAATTTAATATGGAAACCGAAGAAAATTGTCTGTTACGTATCGTTGATAAACTCTGTTCCTTTTCAGGCTAATAAATGGCACATATCAGAATATGTCTATGGACTCGTATATAAGTATATGTATTTATATTGGACCGTATGAACAAAAAAAAAAAGCAATTGCTTTTTCTTGAAATTTCAGACCTTTTACTTGATTTGTTCAAACAAAATTGAAGTAAAAGGTATGCCGTTTTAATAAAAAGCAATTGTTTAGTTTTTATTCATACGGCGCAATATGGAATGAACCAAGCATGTTGCCATAATAGCTTTTTGCCAACGTCTTCCTTATATCGATTAAGAAGTGCGCATACTGTGCGGGCTTTATGTACTAAATGTGTGAGAGATCATTGATGGTCTTTGATTTACTACAAGCTCTTCGGATATGTCGTGGTCTGCAACGTATTCTCGTTACAGGTCCATACAACAAGTAGAAATGCCTAAGTCGCTTGCATATAAGAAATTATGAGTTGTATTTTCATCGAACGCGTTCATAGAATAATTCTTGTAATCTAGTAGAAAAAATAAACATAAACAAAATTTCGTGGCATAAAAACGTGACATGCAATTATGATTTTCACAAACACTGTAAATTAAATGTCAATATAAAAAATATAAAAAAATCATTGCATAACTCTGTATAAATGTTTTGCAATTTCTGCAATAAAATAATACAAATCGGATAAAATGGCAAATCATGCGCTTAAAGTCATTATTCGCACAACCTTTCGTGCGACTCTGGCGTATGTGTAAGCTGCAGCTGGGCCGCAGTTTTCTCGCTAAAATATTTATTATCCGCAAGTCATCATCAACTCACGTTTGAAACGCCACACTTTCGAGATGATTTTGGCAAAACAGTGTTAATAAAAGCTAATAAAATGCAAATGAAATCAACAGTTGAGTGAAAGAAGGGAATTTGAGGCAACATATTTGAGTGGAGTTAAAATAGTTCTTGACACAATGGCCCCAATTTAAGCTACGTATTTTAATGTGCTGTGAAAAGAAATGCGTTAATATCAATTAACACATTTACCCGAAAAAAATAACAAAAGACTTGGCACATGCCAGTTTTAACGGCTATAAAATTAGTTGCCAAAAATTTGAATTCAAAGTTTCAAGCGAAGAGTTCATACGACCAGCCTTAAGTAGTCGTGTATGGTTAGTAAAGCAGTGCGGTTGTATCAAAGTACTTTTTAAGGAGAAATAGTGATTCCAGAGTATTTTTCATAAAAAAATGAATTTCTTGAACATAATCGATGAAGTCACCGAAACGGGTCGCGATATGCACCGGAAATATATCGATTCGCGTACGGAATCTTGTGAGGATCTGAAAAATGTAGCCGAATACGAAAAATTCATTGAAGCAGAGATAATGCAAAGTGAAAAAGTACAAAAGGCAAAGTTCGCTAAGGAGCGAGATGAAAACGGAAAACTTGAATTGAACAACTATGACGAGGCAGTACTGACTGAATTAGTACAAGGCATTTGTCTGCAGCAACAGAAGTCAACTTTTGTCAAAATCGTGTCCAAGTATTTCAGGTGAGGTGGGGGTGGAATTAAAATGGGATTTAATTTCATATCGAAGAAATATGTGATAAGATAAAATAAAAAAGTCAAGTTAAAGTCGAAAATATTAATCATAAAATTAAAATAAAAAAAAAATTAACAAGAAAAATGAAAAAAAAAAACCATTTTTCATTTTAAATCAATCACTTCGTACATTAATGTTCAGTGAATCTGTGGAGAAAGACTCCAATTAATTCTAATATGTGGCATTTTCAAACAACGAGTAGATAACAGGAAGTGATGCAGGCGTGAAAATACTTCTTTTTCCTGTCAGATTATGAAAATTTAGGTGGAATCAATGGAATAATGCGACTCAATTATATTAGGCTACCAATTTAAGTTCCTATTCAGGGCGGCTGAAAAGGAGATACTCCACCGTTGCTTGTTCAAATTAAGTAGCAATGTTACCTGGATCCCAGTGTCCTTTAAAAAACAGCAATTAGTCGGAGACATATTTTCTGCATTTGTAATGCGGTAGAAATGGCAAAACGAGCAGGACTGTTGGTCTTTACGCCTATCGACTCAACTCGTTAGGCCTGAGATAGTAGATCCATCCTTTAATGTAGCCTAAAAGAGGTTTCTTCAAAAGTTTAAACCAGTGAGTGGGTTGAAGTTTCCACCTTTGTGGTCAAAGGTCTCATTTGAATTTATGCCATCTTATAACTGCAACCATAATTCTTGCCTTAGGAATCTTATAGTGAAATTAAGCAGTACGTTTTTAATGGAGTACTTTAGCTGAATAGCTGCCATTAGAATGGGTCTTTTTGTAACTGTGTTTTTTTTTTTCGAAAAAATGGTGATTAGAGTGTCGAAATTATGCACAAAAAGATTAAGCAGATTTCCATATTCCTTGTACTTTTCGCTTAACCTTTGAACCGTTCTCTGAAATGTTTACCCGACTCTTGTTTGATGATCGTACATAAAAACTCGCTGAGATTGGAATCTGTGATGAAGTGTTGATAAACTTGGTGAAATAAAAAAAATTATGATGGAGATCCATGAATTAAATTTTTAGTAGAACTGAAAACGAAACAACCTCAATAAATTAAATTTCATATTAAAATATCCATGTAGGCTCAGTAGCAGAGCTTTTTCTCGACAAACAAAACTTATGGTCTGCAATTATGTATGTATCTCGTAATGACCGTCATATTGGATTCGCCATTATGGATTGTTAAAATCATGATCTAGGTTCGTAATTAGTGATTAATTTACGGTTAGTTTAGACGCCATGGAGAATGAAATTCTCTACAACTTTGGAATTTCAATATGCTACGTATTTTCAACATAAATTGTCGAAAAATGGCGAAAACCCTGACAGTGTAAACTTTTTTCGCGGTGTTTGCTAATTACTCACGATAAAAAATGCTGTATTCAAAACCCATCTATACAACAAATCTGGGAAATTAAATTCTCTACAAATTTGTGTTCAACCATTTTTTACGAAACATGCAAAATAAGTTTGCAAATCGCAAAAAATCCAAAAAATCTAAAATCCAAGATGGCGGAATGTTGCCATATAAAATTTAGGGGCAAGACCGTGGATCCAGGATCTACGTGTCAAAGAGAAGAAAACTGCATCAAAAAATCTTTTTTACGATTTATTTTTTTTTCTTTGATTGATGATGATTGATTTAATTTTTCTGGGCTAATACAAATGTAATATTTTTTTAATCATAAGAAATTTGTCGTATGTATCACCAAACTTTGAACTTACGATAATTCGATGGTCCTCCCCTATAAGGCCTTTTCAATTCAAGATATACAATAATTTTAGTCCCTTTCACAGAAAAGATAATATCTCCATCAAAATGACCTACCTCCACCGTCATCGTATTCAATTCTAAGACAATCTTGGATCCAATAGCGAAAAAAAGGGGTCAGGTTTCACCAGAAAGAGAGGTTCCAAGGGCGATGGGATCGGCTTACTACTACTGGGGGGTTTGCTGCTGCATAAATGATGGTTGCACTACACCTCATTCACGAAAGTCGCGAAAAGGCAAGTTTTTATATAACAAATGCAGCTTTTGATGAACATTTTTTCTTGTCACACTTCGTACGCATATACTTATGTAACTAAGTATCTACTACCCGGCGGGAAAGCTAGTAGTTGTGAAGTAGAATGCCACAAGTCTGCGTTGATAACGACTGGTATTTTTAACATAGCGGTATCCTGCGAGGTGTCAGTAGTCTCTGGTTATGTATCAGCACCTACCAGTAAAAATACTGGTAGCATCATACTATTTAACGGGATAGTTGGCCAATTCATCGTCCTATCAAGGGAATTGTAATTTTGATGGCGACGCTCCAGTAGTCGCAATGACCGACAGAGTAAAGCACTAGCGTATCGTTCCTGAGGTCCGAGGTTCAAGTCAAACTTAATTACATGACTCGACAACATTGGCATTGCCTATTGTCTGAACTAATATTTTTACTGACTGGTTTGGGTTTTCACTGCAGGGCTATGTATAACCCTAGTGTGGATATAATGTATTAATCTATACTATATATAAAATTCAAACCCAAAAGAGCATGAGAGCAAAACTGCCGATGTACTGGGTCGATTTCTATCATTCAAGTTTTAAAATGACATATTTCTACCACAGAAGAAACATTGGTATTTTTTAAATGAAATTTTAATAATAAGTATGTTTAATTAAAGTATTAAGTTGATCAACAATACCACGCATTGCTAGACCGTTTGCCTAGCACGCGTTTGTGTTTAGAGAGCATCAACAAACCACATACATATTTCTCTCTATTCTCTTCTATTTTTTATACTCAGCTAGCACAGCGTAAAAATAAAGAAAAGAACCTTTGCCAGCTTCAGGCAGGCGCTTAGCGAAACTTACCCTGCAGCGGAAATACTAGTGTAGAATACAATTTCTTCAATTACACAGGCCGACAAAATTTTTACCCAGAAACCAAACTATACTTTCCCGAAGGTTTTCGGTGCGCTGAATTCAAATCTGGCCACAGAATTGCTCTATCACATCAGGATTTTGAGATATTCTAACCTATAAGTGAAAAAATGCCGTTTTTGCCCATTTTTGAAGTTGTGTATGCAAGCCAGAGTAATTTTTCTCAAAAAAGTACAAAAAAGGTGTTAAAGTACAAGTCTTTCTCTTTGAAATGGCGTTGAGTTTGCTCAAATATATTTTTGCTTCGCTGAGATATTACAATTTTAAATCCGTGAACAAAAAGTGCTGCGGATAGTACACATGACCGCTATGTTACTTACATGATTTTCAAGATATAGAAAAATTGAAAAAAACCGTAAACTTAAAATTGTAATATCTCAGCGAAGCAAAAAGATATTTGAGCAAACTCAACGCCATTTCAAAGAGAAAGACTTGTACTTTAACACCTTTTTTGTATTTTTTTGAGAAAAATTACTCTGGCTTGCATACACAACTTCAAAAATGGGCAAAAACGGCATTTTTGCACTTATAGGTTAGAATATCTCAAAATCCTGATGTGATAGAGCAATTTTGTGGCCAGATTTGAATTCAGCGCATCGAAAACCTTCGGGAAAGTATAGTCTGGTTTCTGGGTAAGGAGATCGGTCTTATTTTGTCGGCCTGTGTTATTGGAATCGCCGCAGCTCAGGAATGGTGTCGTAGGAAAAAGCAATGGGACAATTCTTGTAGAAGATAGTATGATCTACAAACGTGTGACTTTTGACCTCCCATAAGTTTGTCAGCAGATTTGGTTTCGGTGGAGATTTCTGATATTTTATTTTTAGCAGTGTACCTACGTCTTTTATCAATTTTCATCCCTTTGTGAATTACATATTGTAAATTGAAATGTCTATTTAGACCGGACTAATTGAAGCTATATTAATGTGCTGTGAAAATAATTTTATTATAAACAATTAACGGATTTAACCAATTAACATGCATTTTTTTCTAGCTATAAAATAAAAAGCGAACTTTCAAGCGAAGACTTCATACCAAAAGCCTCAGTTCTTAACACTAAGGAAGGCAGTGGGGTGCGCGTAGGGACGAAAAATCCATTCTAGTCGTAGTACTTTTCAAAGAGAAGCAATAATTTCTTATTTTGTTAAAAAATGAGTTTCTTAAATGTTATAAATGAAGTCAACGAGACGGGACGCGATATGCAAGGCAATTATATTGATTTCCCTACAGAGTCTTGTGAGAAATTCATTGAAACAGAGAGAATGAGAGGTGAAAATTTGCAAAAATCAGAGCTCGCTAAGGAGCAAGATGCGAATAGACAATTAGTAAGACCACTCTACGATCCGGCAGTGCTAAGTGAATTGGTGCAAGGCATCTGCATGCAGCAACATAAGTCAACTTTTGTCAAAATCGTTACTAAGTATTTGAGGTGAGGGTGGAGGGAAATTTAAGAAACGAAGAAAATCAATTGTGACATCTTATCTGAATTTTTTTTTAATTTTGAAGGAAGCAGCCCTAAAAATAAACCTAAATATAATGTTAGCGTACATATTTGTTTTTGTAACCTGGTACCAATACAATCTCGGCACTCTATGACTGTCCTTGAAGATAATTTATCACAATCAAGGCTTAAATTTCTGTCTGACTACCAAAGAAGAAAGCTTCTGCAAGCTGGTTAAGCATATGTATGTACCTGTAAGCTGGTTAAAGTTTCTGCGATTGCCGTTAGTTGAGCTTAAAAATGGTGCAGAAATTGGGCGACTGGAAGCTGATTGAGAGCCCTTCTGGATATAATCCTCTTCTTAACTCAAGATATAATTTAGAACCATCGGTGTATGTGTATGTACGTCCACAGAATAAAAACACTGGTTCAAGGTCTTTTTCTGATTTCCTCCTAGAGGGGAGTTTCGTTTGGAAATAATTCCTCAGAGCAAAAATAATGCCGTATAGTCTGTGCACTTTAAGTTGCCAGGAAGAACAACCATGATTCTGGAGTATCCAAACCTCGTGTCATTCAACACTTCAACACTTCTAATATAACAGTATTACAAAAATATTGTACCGCTGTTTACTGAAGAGAAGCGTAGGATCATTGAAAGAATACAACAAGCGTTCATGTCCAAACATATAATTTTCTCACAAACGCTATTTAAGGGTATTCAGTGAAGAATTCTATTTGAAAAAAAAAAAATCAATCGGCGGTTTGTGTCAGAATGGCCTACTTTGAAACGTTCCTTGATGAGAAATTGTGTTTTGATGTACAGTACAAGCGAATGCCATTGAAGCCCTTCAACCTTAAGGAAACTATTGCTCTTTGCTTTAAGAAGTCCTATTAATACCAAAAGAATCGGGTAAATTTTAGGTTAAGTAGATTAGATGAGCTGGATAGCCATTGCATGGCTTCGCAGAAAACATTAAGGTCCATAGCTTACTAGATAAACAGATTAGGCAGAAAGCCTGCAGCCAGGAGACTAGTCCGTAGTTTGCCAAGGGCCGAACACTCACATAGAATA